AGGAGGAGGACGAGGAGGAGGAGGGAGGAGGCGGAACAGCTCCTCAGGCGACACCGAGTCGGCGCCGCCGACCCCAGGGTTGATGGACATGTCGACGGTGCGCTGGCAGTCGGACCCCGCAGGCGACTCCGATGGCTGTTCGTTCTGCCGCCGCTTCGGGAGGGAACATCCTCCCCCTCCCCCTCCTCCTCCTCCTGCTTCTCCTCCTCCTCCTCCTCCTCCTCCTCGATTCGGTTCGGTTCGGACGAGCGCGAGAGGAACCAAGAGCGTACACGGGTGAGACGAGAGCGAGGAGGGAAGCAGCAGCAGAGGCAGTGAGCCCGCCTCCAGCGCCAACATTGGCGCACCTCTCCCTTAGGGGAGTGGCCGAGTAACAAACGGGTACTATCATTCACAGCTGATGGACACTGGGAGATAGGACAAGGGAGGGATATGTAGAGAAAAGAGAATGGACGGGAGCCTTCCCCAATGCACAAAACAGTTACTGCCCATGGCGCGCGCAACCCCCGTCGAGGGAGATTGCAGCACCCAGGGTACTGCCGAAAGGAGGCGAGCCTTGAGGCGGCCTTGGCCGCGTCTTTACCATCCTCTAGGTGCCCCTTCACTGAATTCGTGCAGCATGTTGCACAGCAACTACGCAGCCGAGGTGGAGCAAGCATGGCATAACTCACACACACGAACACTCATAACACACGCAAGCAAGACGAGGAGAAAAAGCCTTGGTGGTCACGTAGGCGCATCCCACTCGGTCGTGATAGGGCGGTTATGGGCCATGCAGTCCATATGTATGCCCGAGATGACGTAAGGGTCCAATGGGGCCGTAAACCGTCGGAGGCCAAGTGTGATTTCCCAACCGTCGTCACAAGAATCCAGCGCCACCATGGTTCGCAGCTCCCGTTCCTGAGCCATCGTCCACAGGTGTGGTTGCCTGCGAGGCAGAGACGGGACGGGGAGAACGGGGGCAGCACCCAGGGGGACACAGGAAACGAGGGTGGGGGAACCACGGCACAGCTCGGGGAAACGGCGTCTGGTTTCCTGGACAACGCACACTGCTAGGAAATAACACAAGGCGGGGGGGGGGTAGGTTTTAGTGTGGGCCGTCTTCCACGTGCCAAACTTGTCTACACCCCCCAGGCGAGCATGAGGACGGCCGTGGTTGCAAAGTCCATCCCCCTGCTTGGCCTCAAGCAATTGCCGAGCCGCGTTCAAGTTTACACACAGGAGGGACGTTGGTTCGAGAACCGGGGCTACAAACTCGCATTGATGGATATGGTGCAACTGAACCCCAGGCAAGGCGACGAGGGTCTTAAGCTGGGGAAGCAACCACGAGCTAGGGGCCCCTTGGAGCCTCGTGTTATGAGAAGGGTGCTCCATGAGAGCGGGCACACCCCAAATCCAGGCCTCCCACAAAAAACGGTGCGGAGCAAACGGTTCCCCAGGGCAAGCTGGTTGTTTTCCCGCTTAGTGCGGTGCCCGAACCCCCATAGGTGGCGATCAGACCGAAGGGGACGAGGGGGCTTGCGGGTACCAGGATGACCAGGCAGGGCACGCGCACTCGACCAAGTCTCACAGGGGGGACCGGCTATGACGGCAGCTACTCGCCCCGATCTCAATACAAGCAGCCAGAGCTTTATTGTGGACTGGGCTGTCAAGTCCCCGTGGACAGGGTGATTGACTATCTCAATGCTGAGAACGACCAAGTTGGTCGGGTGCTCACGGCACGTGCGTTCGACAAACCACTGAAAATCCTTCTCCCTGCGAAACCCCGAGAACAAATGCAAGACAAACTTAAGAGGGCGGAAAGGCAAAGGATGGGGGGACGGCGAGGGGGCAGCAGGGGAAGGGACCAGAGGGACAGGAGGGAGGGGAGGAGCAGCCTCCTTAAGCTGTTTCCTGGAGGTATGAACACGCTCGGCCACAGGAGGCCCAAGACACTGTGCAGGCGGCTTGTCAGCATAGGCGTCTGGTCGTCCCTTAGCTCGGTTGGCCGCTGACGTGGTCTTGGCCTGCTGCCGCGCCTCCTCCACCTCTTCTGGCTTGGAGCGCCACTCCGAGCGTGACCACGCAAAGCGACAAATGGGGGCGTACCTTAAGTGTTGTTCCAAACGGGGCACCACCCAGAAATTTTCAAGGCACACCTGACAAATCGTGCCAACTGCAATGCAGGTGGGGGAGTCTAATGTTTTATGCACTTCACCGATGTGGGTACGGAGCAGATGCTCCGTGGTCGCCTGAAAGGGGCAAGCAGGACAATTGAAGACATGGGTCCTGGTGTCCGGAGGCTCAAGCAGGGTTCCTTTGGCGACTGTGGCCAGATCGTGCTCCCAGGTGGTGCGATGGGCCTCGTCAAGATAGTACGGCTTGGCTCTGACTATGGCCCCAGACATGAGGCTACGAAAGGCACGGGGTTGCTCTTTAATACATCTAACTAGTCCCTCCCTGGACGGGTCCTGGGGTCGCTGATCAGGTTCCACATTTATAAGCGCCAATTAAAGTCTGCTGAGAGTTGAGAGGACCAACTAGCACGGTCATGCCAAGTTATGTCAATAAGCACACGGACCATGAGGGAGCATAACGCAGGAGGCGAGCAAGATACCTAAATCTGTTGATCGACATAACTACGTTATAAGGTAGCCTCTCAACGTCAAACAAAACTTGTGCAGACATGGCGTGGGACTCCGCATGATTGAGCCCAGGCATATTAAGAGCCGCCCTGTGTACAGCTAAGTGGGTGGTCACCAGTTTACGATGAAGCAGGTCCGTGAGGGGAGGCCAGACAGAGGTGGCGTAGTAAAGTACGGAGGCAGCCAAGGCTTCCGAGAGCACGATTTTAGCAGAAAGCGTACGCAGCGGTCTGGGGGCCACAGTGGCCCTGATGGGGCCGAGAGCTCTGCGAGCCTTAGTGGTGCGTGAGGTGACCTCAGGGGCCATGGAGCCTGACGCTGTTACTTGCACCCCCAGCATCTTGTGCACGGCAACAATGGGGAAGCTGAAGCCCCACTTGGGGGATTGTAAGTGGGAGGGAAGGGGGTACCAACCTAGAATGCTTCGGGACCCTTTGCCACGCAAGCAGAGGACTCCTCCTTCTCCTCCTCCTCCTCCTCCTCCTCCTCCTCCTCCGCCTCCTCTTCCTTGTCCTCCTCCTCCTCCTCCTGCTTCTTCTCCTCCTCCCTCCTTCCTCCTCCGTTCTCCTCCTCCTCCTCCTCCTCCCTCCTCTACCTCCTCGTCCTGTCCCTCCTTCTCCTCCTCTTCCTCTTCCTCCCCCTCCTCCCTCTCCTTCTCTCCCTCCTCCTTCACGTCCTCCTCTACCCCCTCGTGTCCCTCCTCTCCTCCGGGGCCTACAGAGGCCCCCGTGAGGCCACTCGCAAACCTAGGTCCTTTTCCATCCTTCCTCCTCCCCGCCCGTCCTTTCTCTCCCCCTCGTCCAAGGGCCTGCCAAGCGCTGAAGCGGCGCCCACGGTCCGTGTCGACGTATGACCGACAAGGCCAAGTACCCGTGAGGCTCCACCCGCCGCCCTCCGCAGAACGTGCCGCCGTGCCCATGCTCACGAGGAGCGTTATCGGCCCCTCTCGTCGCCACGGCTTGCTTCGCTTGGCAGTCTTGGCCAGAACGCACCCCTGGAGAGGTCCAGGGAGTGAGTAGCGGTTTCGGTGCCCTTTTTCTCGAGGCCGGGGGATTGTGGAGTACCTCAGTGTTCCAGAATTGTTTTTACGAGCTTGCATCCTTCTCTTCATCATCATCCTTATCTTACCTCTCTCTCTATCGATATAGATATATACATTTATATGAATATGCGCACTCCTTCCTTAAGCTATACCGTTTTTCTGTCAGCCTTTTCAAATAACAACTGCCGATGCGATACCAATCCATTGCCAGCCAACGCCACTGCAATGCAAATTGGGGATTATTTTCTTTCGGTGGATTTCAGTAAGAAACCTCCATGGGATGCTGTCATGACGAATCCTTCCTCGGAGGATTTCGATCGGAATGCTTCTGTGGAGGGTTTCGACTTGACTCCTCCTTTGGAGGGTTTCACTCGGAGTCCTGCTTGTGGGGGTTTCACTCGGAATCCTTCTTGTGGGGGTTTCAGTAGGAGTCCTTCTGCGGAAAGAGCCATGAGGACTCGCCAGCGCAGTGCCACTGCAATGCTAAAGCAGTGCCAATGCAATGCCAAACCAAGGCAAAGCGACCCCAATCCAATGCCAATGCTATGCCAATGGGGGTAATCCTTTGTGGTAGACTTCAATAAGACTTCTTCTGGGGATTGCAATAATAATCCATTGCGAAGGGAGGCATTTGAACTCGCCAGCGCAATGCCAAAGCCGTGCCAACGCAAAGCCAGCGCAATTCCAACGCGATCTCACATCCGATGCCAATGCAATGTCGTTGGGGGCATTCCTTTAAAGTAGATGTCAAAAGGAATCTTTTTGGGGGGCGGAGGCTTTGAATAGGAATCCGTCTGCGAAGGGAGGCATTGGAACTCGCCAGCGCGATGCTCAAGCAGTGCGAACGCAATGCCAAGCCAATGCCAAGGCGACCCCAATCCAATGCCAATGCTATGCCAATGGGGGTAATCCTTTGTGGTAGATTTCCATAAGAATCTTTCTGGGGGTTGCAATCGTATGAATCCTTCTGCGAATGGAGGCACTGGAACTTGCCAGCGCAATGCCAGCGCACTGCCAAAGCAGTGCCAACGCAATGCCAGCGCAGTGCCAAGACGATCTCACACCCGATGCCAATGCAATCCTTTGTGGTAGATTTCAAAAGGGACCCTTTTTTGCAGAGGGTCTCGATGAGAAGTGTTGTGCGAAGAGAGGCATTCGGACTCGCCGGCGCAATGCTGAAGCGGTGCCAACGCAATGCCACACCAACGCCATGTAAACCCCAATCCAATGGCAAAGGTATGCCAATGGGGGGAATCATCTGTGGCAGGTTTCAATAAGAATCTTCGTTGGGGTTGCAATAGGAACCTTTCTGCGAAGGGAGGCACTGGAATTCGCTAGCGCAATGCCAAAGCAATGCCAAAGCAGTGCCAGCGCAATGCCAGCGCAATGCCAATGCGATCCCAGATCCGATGCCAATGCTTTTCCAGTGGGGGTAATCCTTTGTGGTAGATTTTTAAAGGACTCCTATTTTCGGAGGGTTTCAATAGGAATCCTTTTCGGAGGGAGGCGCTAGGACTCGTCAGCGCAACACTAAAGCAGCGCCAACGCAATGCCAAACCAATTCCAAGGCGACCCCGATCCAATGTCAATTGGGGCAATCCTTCGTGGTCAATTTCAATCGGACTCCTTTTCGTGGAGGGTTACAATAGGAATCCTTCGGCGAAGGGAGGCATTAGGTCTTGACAGCGCAATGCCAGTGCAATGCCCAAAGTGTGCCATCGCAATGCCAAATCAATGCCAAGGCGACCGACTCCGATGCCAATGCAATGTCGTTGGGGGCAATCTTTTGCGGTGGATTTCAAGGAGCATCTGTCTTCTGGGGGTTGCAATAGGAATCCTTTGCGAAGGGGGCGTTCGGACTCGCCAGCGCAATGCCAGCGCAATGCCAGCGCACTTCCAGCGCAATGCCAATTCACTGTTAAACCAATGCCAATTGGGGGCATCCTC